CTTGCAAATTCTCTCTAGGAGTCGCAAGCCACAATATTAGAAGTCTGACTACCCTGAGACTACCATGCTACAAAGGTCACATAAACTCGTCTTCCACCTCTGCCCAGGCACCACATACACGTGTAAAAGATATCTTGTATCCTCCAGAGCAATCCATCCACCAGCTGAATATCATCCAATTATCTCAGTCAATGGAATATGGAAGAGAAAAATCACTCAGCTGAGACCTGCTTTAATTCTCAGCTCAGGGAATCATGAGCAATATAAAACAGCTGTTGTTTTAAAGCACTAAGTGTTGGGGCAGTTTATCATGAAATAACAGATCATTGCAACAGTGAGTTTTGTAAATTTATCTTTATTTAAGTTTTGCAGGGGCTGCAATGTCCTGCCACCACCTTCTACAACCCAATTGGAAGCAGAAGCCTAAACCTAGATATTATTCAGAAGTAATGTGCAAAGTTATTATAAAGTAAAATTATTTCTTGGAGATAAAAAAGCCAACTTTCTCTGAGATATCATAAAACAAATAATTTTCTAAGCATCATAAATTTCAACTAAGTTATTGCAATTAAAACCAACCATTTTATTCTTACTAAACAAACTACTGTACATACATAAAGCCAAAAAATTCACACTCAGGTTGTCCTTTAGTTCATCTAACAAATGGTTATTTAGATATTTTCTTATGATTGAAGCAAGACTAGGATTACAAATATAAAATTAAGACTATTTGTAGTTGTCTAAAGCAGTGATTTTAAAACATAACATAAAGAAATAACTCACTGTTGAGATAAATTATGAAGTATAGAATAAGTAATAGCTGTTACTAAAATGATAATGTACACATCTATATACATATATGAACGTATGTGTGTGTGTGTGCACACTCATCTGTTTTTAAATGGAGGAGTGCCCTGTGCCAGTATGTTTACTGCAGTATTATAACAGCTAAAACCTGGAAACAATTTAATTATATATTAATTGGAACATAGCTAAGAAGGAGACAGAGAAAAGAAAGGAGATTTTTATTCTATATACTTTATACCTGACATATGAATTGAATTTTAGAAAATGTACAAGCATGTATCACCTGTGAAAATTTACCATGAAAAACACACCATTCGAAGCTAATGTCTATCGCCATGTTTCACTGTCTTTAGAGCCTGAATGATCCTTCAGTCTAAGCACTAGAGAACAGCCAAAAGAATTATTTCTCAGGGAGACTCATAACCCACCAACATATTTCTTTGGACTATTTCTATTCATAGGTGGTAGATAGTCTATTTGAATACTTTTCCTCCCCAGGCTTCCCAACTTTCATAAGAGGATGCCAATCCTACTCCTAACCTTGCTGGCTATTAGAGCAAAAGGCTCCATATCTAACCTATAATTGAGAATAACTACAATCCAGGTACTTGCCAAGGAGTAAGGTGCTAAACTTACTGTTACTCGGTTTTTACCAAAACAGGACTGCTTCATGGCTATTTAGTCCATCCCTTCATTACTCTAAAACTGCTTGTCTAGATTAAGACATACCAGGAAGGAGCAGCATTCTTGACTTTGTCCTTTTACTGCTCTCCGCCCTATCCACCCAGCAGAACTGTGTTTAGTAAAGTGCTTTTGATGTTAAGCCACTAGACTGTGTGGAAGGGAGCTTTAAGAAAGAGGTCTGGAGAAGAGGCTTCAGTTATTTACCACAAGGATGCTGTTGAGGACAGAGTTGAGTACATCGCACTATGACCAAAATGATACACTGTTCTTTGAATTTTAATTTTTAGGCTTCTTCTAAAATGCTGATAAATTTTGATCTTGTGAACACCAGAAAACATATCTTGTCTTATGAGAGGTCTTCCTAGAGAGCTTAGAGCAAAATTTGTGATCCACCTCAAGCAAATACAGGAGCGCTTATGGGATGCATTGTGTGTTCTATCCTTAGTCCATCTGACTCATTTTTATCAGTCCTTTTTTTTTTTTTTTACAGTATTAAGGTACAATTTACATACCATAAAATTTACCTGTCGTAAGTGTACAGTTCAATGGTGTTTTAGTCACTTTACAGAGGTGTGCAATCATCACAATCCAATTTTAGAACACTTCCATCACCCCCCAAAATTTCCTTGAGTCCATATGCAGTCAATCCCCTCCCCCACCCCCAAACGTCCTCTGATTTGCTCTATCTAGACAGTCTACAAGTGGAATCATACAATTTTTAGTCTTTTGAATTTGGCTTCTTTCATTTAGCATAACATTTTTGAGGTTCATCCACGTTGTAGCATGTATCAGTGTTTTCCTTTTTCCAATCCTCAATAGTATTCTAATGTATGGACATACCACATGTTATTTATTCATTTACTAGTTGGTGGACATTTGGACAGTTTCTCATTTTTGTCTATTATGAATAATGCTACTATAAACGATCACATACAAGTCTTTGTGTGGATATCTGTTTTCATTTCTCTTGGGTAGATTCTGAGAAGCAGAGTTGCTGGGTTATATGGTGTGATGGTTAATTTTATGTGTCAATTTGGTTAGGCAAAGTAGCCAGATATTTGGTCAAACATTATTCTGGGAGAGTGTTTTCAGGTGAGATTCACATTTAAATTGGTGGACTCTGAGTAAAGCAGATTGCCCTCCACAATGTGGGTGGGCCTCATCCAATTAGCTGAAGGTCTGAACAGAACAAAAGCTGACCTCTCTGAGCAAGAGGGAATTGCCCAGAAGACTGCCTTCAGACTTCATTGGAAACATCCGTTCTTCCTAATCTTCCAGCAGACTGTCTTTGGACTCGAACTGCAACTCTTTCCTGAGTCCCCAGGCTGCCGGCCTTCCCTACCAGATTTTAGACTTGCCAAGCCTCCACAATCACATGAAGAAACTCCTTAAAATAAATCTCTTCCTATATATAGACACATCCTCTTGCTTCTGTTTCTCTGGAGAACTTAACACATATGGTAAGTTAGTTTAACTTTTAAACAAATGGCCAAACTGTTTTCCAAGGTGGGTGTAGCTTTTTACATTCCCACCAAGAATGCATGAGTTTGTGCTTCTCCACATCCTAGATACTAGATAGTGTCTGTCATTTTGACTCACAGCCATCTTAATGGGTATGGACTAGTATCTCACTGTGTTTTTAATGTGTATTTTCCTAAAAACTAATGATGCTGAGCACATTTTCATGTGCTTATTAATCATTCGTATGTCTTGATGAAATGTCTATTCAGTTCTTTTGCTGTTTTTTTAATGGGGTTGTTTGTCTTATTGAACTGCTGGAGTTCTTTGTAAGCTCTGGATACAGTCCTTTATCAGACATGATTTGCAAATATCTTCTCTGTGTCTTGTCTTTTCAGTTTCTTAACAGTGTCTTTTGAAGTACAAAAGTTTTAATGTTAATGAAGTCACATTTATCAATTTTTTCTCTTACGTGCCATGTTTTTGGTGTTATTTCTAACAACTCTTTGCCTAATCTGAGGTCACCAAGTTTCTTCTGTGCTTTCTTTTAGACATTTTATAGTTTTAGCTATTACACTTAGGTCTATAATTAATTTTTGTGTATGGTTGTTTTTTGTGAGGAAGTTCATGTTTTTGCATATGAATACTCAATTCTCCCAGAACTATTTGTTTAAAAGGTAATCCTTTGTCCATTGAATAGTCTTAGCAGCTTTGTGAAAAATCAATGGACCAGTAAGGGTTTATTTCTGGACCCTCAACTCCATTCTGCTGACCTGTATGCTTATCCTTATACCACTGCCATACTGTCTTTGTTACTGTCACTTCATAGTGAGTTTTGAAATTGGGAAGTAACAAAGTCCTCTCCAACTTTGTTATTTTATTCATTTATTTTAAATTTTACTTTATATTGTGAGTACTAATGAATATCATGTTAAATTCTTTCTGAGAGGATAGTTACAAATCAACACAGAAATAAAACTATATTTTAAAGATATTTTCAAAAGAATGTATTCCTCTTTAAATGTGAAAGTGACAATCATTACTGTATTCCCTTAGGAGTAATTGTGAAGTTACGTCTCCCTCCTCCCCACAGCCATGTCAACAAACATTTACTGAATGCCTGCTAGATACGAGGCACCGTGCAAACTTAGGTGCTGAAGATACAGAGACCCTCACTTAGCACATAAACAGAGAACGATGGTATTGCGTATTAATAGCCACAAAGAAATATGTACAAGATACAGTGGTAGCAAGGGAAAGGGATATTACTTTTATCTGGTCAGATTTACCTTACTTCATAAAATAAGCTTGTTTCTGAAAAAATGGTTGAAAATTTTTGGTTTCTTTTTTTTAAACAAACTGAGTTTTAAAACACCAGAGAAGCTAGTACTTACAAAAGCTTGGAGTTAGCAATCCTTTTATAAAGTAGAGGCTCTCTCAACTACTTAGGTCTTCTACTTGGTTCTTTCTTTTTAAGGTTACAGAAGGAATTTACACTAATGGAAAAATTCAAACAAAACAGAAGTATTTATAGTAAAAAGTGAAAGTCTCATTTTACTTCCAACTCACCCTACTCTTCCCCCCAGAGGTAAGTTCTGTTATGCTTGGTCACTTCTCGATGGCTCAGAGCTATAGAAGATGCAGAGAGTATGAACTCTTGAAATCCTGAGACAAATCTCACACCTTGTTTTAGATAGGAGCTTCAGCCTCTTTCCCACCAAACATGGCATCAGAATAACCAGCAAGACTTGAAAATTATTCTTTTTCTTTCCATATCCCATCCTATACCTAGAAAAGGTGGGGCTTAAGAGAAAAGTAAACGTAAGCAATAGACCTAAATAACGTGTGTGTGTGTGTATAAACTTTCCAGTGACGATTCCTGAAACTTGTTCTACAGGAGATTTAACTAAGTGTTGTTAAAAACGAATGGAAGAAAAGAAGGAAGCTGGAGGGAAGGAAGGAAGACAGGCAGGCAGGGGCATTTCCAAAGTCAAATACACTTAGGAATTACTGGGTTAAGTAAAATAGCAATATCACTGAGAGGTTCTGACCTTTCATAAAATTAGCTGACCACCGAACTCTTTAATCCTGGGTCACCAGGTAATATTTTGAGACTCTAGATCTTCACAAAAAATACAGTCTGGAAAACAAGCACTGGTTATAGCCCCCTTCATTATCACACTGACAGCAATTCATACAACTGAACAAATGGGGATATTCAGAAATATGCACAGGGCCACATAAATTTGTTTGACCAAAACACCAAAAAGACGAAGTCAGCAGACTGTCTTAAGGTTCCATCTTTACTATGTTGGAAAAACAGGTTTCATTTCTTTGCTACATTATTTTTCCTTTGGCTCTTTATACAATAAAAGAATAAAACGAGAGACAGAAGTTTGGCTCTGAAATTAAATGCACTAAAGTGTTTACTTTTAATAATAAGTAAATAAAATCAAAAGGTCTCAATACAAATTCTATCCATTTTTTAATTTGCTTTACAAAACCATATAATTGGATTAAAGTAGTTTGGGATATTAGTATAGTAATTGCTTTATTGAGAAGAACCTTTAAGAGGTTAATGAAAAATTGTTGTGAGATTATTTTTATCCATAGTGACAACAGCTCCCTATATTCGTGCAAGAAAACAGTAAATTTGGATCTATCTCCTTATATGTTAGACTTCAAATCAGGATATACTCAGTAGAGAGCACTGTTAAAACTTGCCACTGAGACTGGACGAGGCCTTGTTTACCCAAGTATAATCATGAATGATAACTTTTCAATAAATCTTATTCCTGCCTTCCCGAATTTTAATTGGGTGAGAAATTTGGGAGGACTTCCTATTGAAGTGGATCCTTATGATAACTGAAAGAGCTGCTGTATGTCCTTGGTAGAAGCTGTTCTGAAATTCCACTTCAGTAAAAAGTGAGGAATAAATAATTCACCCATGGAGAAAAGTCTCTACCAGATACTTCAACTTTCTGTTGTTGTTGCTTCTTCTCTGCTGTTGGGAAAAGGAAGTGTGATAACTATCGCCCATATTTATAAACGTCAAACTGCCTCACTCTATATCCAAACCCCAATCAATTCCTTGTTTAATGCCCGACTCTGGCTTCCTCTCTCAAATCTCTCACCACTCTCTAACTCAAGTCAAAATGATTTCTCCCTCCACTAAGCTACTTGATTCTTGTTCAGGCCTCTCACGTAGGATATAACCATATTTCATGTACCTTAAGTTGTTGTTTAACTTGACTACTGTACTTGTCCTGTTCATTGAGAAATCTAAGGGACTTTAGGTGGCAGGACCAAGGCTGTACACAGATTTGGAGAACCCTCAATACCAGGCACCATGCTGTTTATATTAGCATTCTATAGGCATTTGTGGACTTACTGACCTTACTATTCAGTGCTTTACGATGATCCTAGGAATAGTTAATCCTCGGAAGAAAATAAAAGCGTTTTTCCACTATGACAATAATAAAAACTTATTGGTTTTAAGAAATGTTAATAGACTATTTATAATTTAAGTAATTTATGACTAAATGTCATTTTTTTTCTCTGACAGAGCAGTGTCATGGTTAGGCCAGCCAGGTGTAGCTCACTTAAGGACTCAGGCATAGAATGCTGTGAGGGAAGTAACTGTTTAATAATAAAGGACTTTGAACAGGATCCATCATGAGAGACTAGTAGGGTGACAGCAACATTATTACACATATATGGAACAATTAAGAACCTACAAAAGTAATTTCACAGTATAATTCATTCACTCAACAAACTGTTACTGAAAGCCTACTGTGTGACAGGCTCTGTTTTAGGCAATGGAGAACTAAAGGAGAGTGAGAAATATCAACCAGTCATGTTGGCTCTCTAAAGCAGAATCAAACAGAATCAGTCTAAAAATTCATCTACCCATCTCCGTATAAAACCATATCACACATGGTTAAGGTCCATAAAAAAATACTTTATCTCACTGCTTTGAACAATGCAAATAGTTTACTTTGGCCTAAACACCAGCAAACTTAAATTATCCTGTAAATTCCTGCAAAGAGACATTGTTTCGTTTCTGTCCATCCTGTTGTTCCCAAGTTGTTGGATGGGGACATAGAGATGTGCTACAAGCAATATGAGTAGACTTACCAGAGCTGTGTCCAAACAGAAGCTTGGTACCTGCAGTGAGGGCAGTGCTGGCACAGGTACTTCCTGTCCCTATCAATTCATCGGCAGCTGCTGACACATTCTTATGCTTCATAGGAGCATAACATTTTCTTCTAAAACTTAAGGGGGAAAGGCAAAAATAGAAAACCTTTGCCAACCACAAAAATGTATATTTAAAATATTGTGGAATAGAAATGAGCTGCTAGATACTTTTGAAACCAGAGGAAAAGTAGAAAATAACAAGTATCTCTGTATGCCCAACTACAGTCTTCTGAATTGACGTGAAGTAGAAATGCTGCTGCTTCAGCTAAGCCGGTTTACATCTGAGGCAACTTAAAACGATCTACCAATTGTGTAAGCTGAAAGTGAGATGGCGGGGTCAAAATTTATCCTTTTAGAATCAGAACCCGTTTTTCAACTGTGTTTTTAGAAGGAAGAATGCAATCTTTGCTAGAATGGGCTTTCATTCAACTAGAAATTCACTAAATCCAGAATCAGTAGATTCTAAAATCTATACAATTAACTTGACAACAAACTTGGATGATAAATTTGAACTTTAATATGTTACTGCTCTGTTCTTGTTTTAAATCAAAACGATTTCTTCTGGGACTGCACAGGAATGAGCCTTTAGCCTACCTCATGGGGAAGGAACAATTTCTAGTCTTGAAAACAGGAGGTTCGCCTCCGTGATCACCTGGGACAAACTTGGCCAGTGCAAGCAGGCTAGAAGGTTACAGGGGCCTGGGGATGTTTAACATCAAGAAAGGAATTACAGCTCAGCCAGATCAGAGGGAATTACACAGGAAATGCGAACAGTAACCCTTTCACATCTCCGTACCCGCTCCCACCTCCCATGATAAATGAAGTCCTGCTGGCGTCCAGCTATGCGAATATATAAGCCAACAGCAGAGGGAACTGGGAAAAAGGGAAAAAGCCATTTTATCCACACACACAGCACAACATAAATTCATAATGACATGATAAGATCATGTTGCTCCAGAAAACAGCCTTTAGCCTTTCTAATTGCCACGTGTGCACTGCAGCACTGCCTTATCCAACAGAGCCCTAAGTAAAAACGCCAAAGAAAGTTGAAGCATCAGGCGGGCGGGGGCGGGGGTGGGGGTAGAATAGTTGGCAGACTTGTCCTGAGCAGGGAAACGTGGCTCCTCTGAAGCTGACCAAACAAACAGGTCTCCACCCTGGCTTATGTTTAAACATCTTGTTCCTAGTCAGTCTGTAGGGAAAACATTCTTTCCACAATAAATAATATGCAATTGAATCAGAAATTCTTACTCCATTCCTTTATCTATTTTATGTAAAAGTTTCTTCAGCACTGTAAGGCAGGAAGTTAGAGAATTCAACTGCTTGAGAAATTTCTTTTAAAGAGTAGCTTAGGTATAGTCAAGGAAAGTTAAACTATTTCTCATAGCTAATTTGGAAAAGGAAATGTGACTGTACAGATCTCAGACTTCTTTAGAGACCCTTGGTTAGATCTCAAGAAAACCAACTACTCTTACATATCTGCCTCTCAGAGGAGGGGAAATACTCCGTTTCTATAAGCAGGTGAGTTTGAGAGAGATTAATTAAAAAACAAAAACCAAAAAAAAACCCCAGAGTCCTCAGATAGTGAGGACATAGGTGGAGCAGCAAAATAAAATGAAGAAAAAGGTGGTATTTCCAATGGGCTAAGTTTAAAATATTGTCTGGAGTTTCATTGGTCATTCTGACACAAGATTTAACTTTTTCCTTTGGTATAACTTCAGAATAGAGATGGTTTGCCACAAAGAGCAGGTCGAGAAATAAATGAAAGTGGGGGCCGGCCCAGTGGTACAGCAGTTAAGTTCGCAGGTTCGGCTTCAGCGGCTCAGGGTTCGCCAGTTCCAATCCCTGGTGCGGACCCATGCACCGCTTGTCAAGCCACACTGTGGCAGGCGTCCACATGTAAAGTAGAGGAAGATGGGCAAGGATGTTAGCTCAGGGTCCATCTTCCTCAGCAGAAAAGGGGAGGATTGGTGGCCGATGTTAGCTCAGGGCTAATCTTCCTCAACAAAAAAAAAGAAAGAAATGAAAGTCAATATAGAGATAACAAAGCAAACCACCAACAAAAGCCAAAGGGTCAGCTTTTTAGAGCTATCCAGAATAGGAAACAATAAAACCAAAGGATTTTTTTCCCTAGTGAAGTGCCTCCTCCAAAGCACATACAATCTCCTTCAAGAAATAGCATACGCCAGTAGTGTTTTTGTACAATAAATGGCGCATCACTCAAATGACAAATGAGATTTAAATTGCAGACTTCCTAGTTGTCTTAAAGTTAAACAACTGAGACCTAATTTCTCTAGCACTGACCCACAGATAGGCAGTCCCATCACTCTGCAACACACTAAAGGTGCCTGCTCTTTCCATGGCTTCTGAGTTACTATAACATTTATATTAGGAAAAACCTTAGCAGAATGACAGGGAACAAAATCACAAACTCCAAGTGATAAACCAGACTTCTGATTGGGCTTCCAAGCAGGGATCAGTTCCTCACTATAGTGTGGACCCTGAAGGGCACCAAATGGAAATTCAATGGAGCTCTCTCTTCAGCTGGAAAGGGGAGCTTACTTTTAGTGCTTTCTAACCATTTTTAACACATTTTTTTCTCATATACATAAAAACCTCATACCCTCATTGAATGTTATAGGAGATTTCAAAATAATTTAAGTATTATAAAAAGAAACCAAAGCAAGATAATTTCTGACTTTTTTTTCAAACACTGTCCCACTACAGTAGAATTTATTAAAACATATTCTTAACTGGACAGATATTAATTAAAACTTCTTTACTTTTATCTTGAAGACAAAAAGGTCAAAAATGTCTATGAACACTAATGTACTAATGACAATGAAATGGTATGTATTGGTCCTTCAGCATATCTCCTCTCCTTGAGACTTACCATAGATGATCTTTTAGTTCTGACATTAGCCCCATAGAAATGCTGACTGATACATACAGGCCTTCAATATTTATTAAATGATTCAGCAATAAGGCTTCTTTTTCTATGCTAAAAATAACAGAGCCCTAATGTAGTACCCCCTTTCGAGTAATGAAGGATAGAAGCAAGCAGGTTAAGTCTTCAGTACAGAGGCAACAGTAGAAGAGGCAAACTGGAGAAGGCCTTGACAACAGTTCCGATAATGAAAGCAAGAGGAATATCCCCTAACGGGTGCGTATTTGGACAGTACCCCACAACTTTACGAAGTGGAGGTTATCACTTGATTGAAACAGCATTCAGTGGCTTTTTCAAGGTCACACAGCTAGTCAAGCAGCAGAGTTGAGACTTAAACCCTTCTGACAGCTCTTCCATCCATTAAGAGCTCTTTACTTTGACATGAATTTTGAAAATATCTTCATCCAAACTCCATAATTCGGGTATATATAATAAGCACAACCTTTTTTCTCTCAACCCACCCAATATCACTCCCTTTCTACTAATTCCCATAAAAATTCTCAGAGTTCCCATTGCAGCAGCCTTTGTTTCCTCATACCACTATGACTAAGGGCACAATAAAAACCATCTTTCAAAAACAAACCTCCTTCCACCTAGCTCTTGTATCCTATAACTGTCCCCCCACATAAGGACATCATCACAGGCACAGGCTTTCAAAACTCTTAACTACTGAGGAAATGTCTGGGGTTGTCTGTTCTTCATTTAGAATGAGTCAAATGTGACACATACTACCTCTTCATTCCTAAAAGGTGAGCAGGAGTCACCCTCAGATTCCCAGCCTCTGGCTTAGAAAAGACTCCAGGGACTTGGTAGAGAAAGGCCAACTGCACAAGAATAACAAAACTAACGGAACTAAAAGTTACAGTCTTACTAATTTTTAAAAATGATTCTAGGGGCTGGCCCAGTGGTGCAGTAGTTAAGTTCGCGTGGTCCACTTCAGCAGCCTGGGGTTTGCAGGTTTGGATCCCGGGCACAGACCCACACACTGCTCATCAAGCCATGCTGTAGCGGTGACCCATATATACAACAGAGGAGGATTGGCAACAGATGTAAGCTCAGGGCCAATTTTCCTCACACACAAAAAAAAATTCTAAAGGTTTTATTTTTTAAGTCTTATTAAAGAATGATGAACTACTGGTATTAGTAATTTAATATAAATGTGGGGCATAATGAAGGTAGAATTTTATCCATACAAAATCAACTAGTTGTAGTCATATCTTATTAAGCTTATTATGAAGATTATGAGACTCAATTATATAAAAACTGCTATGAAAGTAGCACATGGTAACTACTAAATAAATGTTAGTTGCTATTAGTAACAACATTATTGAACTATTAAAAACAAAACATATATTGGAAGGCCATACTGAAAATGAACCAGGGTCTGGCACAGTGGCATAGCAGTTAAGTTCACACATTCTGCTTCAGCAGCCCGGGGTTTACCGGTTCCAGTCCTGGGTGTGGACCTATGCACTGCTTGTCAAGCCATGCTGTGGCAGGCATCCCACATATAAAGTAGAGGAAGATGGGCATGGATCTTAGCTCAGGGCCGGTCTTCCTCAGCAAAAAGAGGAGGATTGGCGACAGATGTTGGCTGAGGGCTAATCTTCCTCAAAAATAAAGAAACAGCAAACAATACATTCTTATTTTTAACATCTACACAAAACATAAATATCTGTTCTATGCACACAAATACATGTATATAAATATTCAGAATAAGATTTGAAAGAATAAATGGCAAAACGATGACCTCTGAAAAGACGGGATGGTGGTGGTCAAGGGAACTTTAATGGGATTTGTAATGCTTTTATTACTGGTTTTTTTTTTCACTTGAGGAAGTTGTCCCTGAGCTAATACCTGTGCCAGTCTTCCTCTATTTTGCATGTAGGATGCCACCACAGCACAGCTTGATGAGTGTTGTACAGGTCCACACCCAGGAACCGACCCTGTGAAGCCCAGGCTGCTGAAGCAGAGCACGCAAACTTAACCACTACACCACTGGGCCAGCCCCTGTAATGCTTTCCTTTTTAAAACAAAAGAAAATATTTATGTATTGCCTTCTGTAAATAATATGAATTTTTTAAAAAGTAAAATAGAAAATATATTTTCTTATTAAGAATATATTATATT